GCTTAATATGGAAATCAGTCAGTTCTTAAAAGCATTAAAAAGGGGTTGAACAATTGCTATAAAATTTATTGGTTAACTCACCGGTTCATTTCAAAAGATATTTAAAATAGTGTATTCAAATTAATGAAAGATAAATGGGTTTTCATGATCACTGTGCAAGGTTTTAGCCTTAGAAATGAAAATGGAAATGTTTCATTACCTTCCAATAAACTTTATTATATATTATGAGAAAGGTCAATTAGAAATTAGGGGGAAATGTAACAAAAAAAACAAACATAAGTGAAAAAATAATTTTCCTTTACTTGCGTATGATTATTTAGTGAAGGATACAACATTTTTCCACCGAATCCATTGAAGTTCAAATAAATGTATCCACTTAAGATAATTTAAAGTCCAAACTATCACAAAATCAAATGAGTTTCCTAAGTCCTTTTAGAAAATATTCAAACAACCTACTATGTAACATCTGCCCAGGTCAGCCTACCACATTTGCCAGGGTCAGGACTAAAAATTTTTAAAATAAAAATTGATACATTTGAATTTTTACCAGAGGATAAAACACATGAACAAATAACATATTGTTATCGTCTTATTATGACAACATTTTTAGGTGGTTATCAAAAAGCCAGTCTTAAACAGCTGATTGTGATAATTTGAATAATGTATTGCATTAAGATGATACAATACGAAATCTTAACATACTGCTCAAAAGATAAACTGCCTCAAAATATTAAATAAATAATGGAAATTCTCCGAAATATGTGAGTGAAATCGTTACACGTCTTCTTTCCCTGTGTCGCGATCTTCACAAAGGTTCAACAGGCTGACGAGAAGGGCTCGGAAACGCCCCTCTCGCGGGGCTGCCAGCACGTCAAAAATTACACCAAAAAGCCATAAACACGCAAAAAACTGTCCTTGAAACTCGGGCAAAAGGCCGCCGGGCCCTGCCAATCATAATAGGAATTCCATGTTAGCTTGCACCTCGCTTCCTGCAGTGAACATCTCCAAATCAACCTTGATACACAGTATGCGTAAATTATTAAACTTTAAAAATATAAACCCTTGAATATAGTTTCAGAATTTTTCAATTGATGTTTTATCACTTAATAAAAATATTTTTCATTGACTTATGTCCTTTGTCGGAAATGACAATACATTCAGGTTGCTTGCCACAGCGCCCGACACGTTAGCCAAACGGTCGTTAGAAAATGAGAAATCGAATCATTATCTGAATGTTAATCATGGTCCACGCCTCCAGGTATGATCCATGTGGTATGGCATCAGTGGCTGTCAAAAAAACCGGTCACATGACTGAACGCTCTGTAACAGTCTGGTAACGACATCTGCGAGGAGAAAGAACAAACTATTTGTAATATCTGATCATGTAAGTATAGAGACTTGGAATATACGTAGTCTAGCCCATACAGAATGTTAATGAATGAAAGAAGCCAATCTGAAAAAACAAAACAGAAAGGAACCAGTAATTTTGAGCTTTATACAATGATATACAGTGTACCTGCAGGAAATAGAGCACGAGTAGCTCTTGTGAAGTGAGTAGTGCAAAACAAGGATAACATTGTACAGTTGGGTAAACAAGAGGATTGTCACTCCCAGAGACTCAAGGTGAGCAGAGGATATGTGAGCATAATATCGGTGTATGCTCCGCGAGGATAAAAATATGATACTAATAACTTTTACAAGAGCCTACAAAATGTAATTGATTCCATAAAAAATGGCTATATTGTTATTGGAGGAGATCTGAATGCCAAATTGGACGGCAGCCTATACAGAAATTAATTGGCACAAACGAAGAAGTATTAATAAAACAGGACGTGAAGATGTAACGAGATTTTGCAAATTTTAAATTCATTGCTAGTGGAAAACACGTTCTTCTGACACAAAGATTTACAAATTTACTTGGGTATCCCGAGGAAGAAGTTCAATAATATATTATCTAATATCAATTGAGAAAATGGGAAAATTATTCCAGGGTGTAAAGTGATGAGAGGAATGGATATAGGTTCTTATCATTACTCGGTGCGAGGGAAAGTTGTTGTACTAACTAGATGGGCGAAAATAAAACTCATAAATAAAGCTGTTAAAGAAACATTTTGGAAAATTAACTCACTAGAAGAGCCGAGTATTAGAAAACTTTTCCAAGCCCGCATAAATCTCCGCATGGAGAAAGGTCCTACACTGAATTAGAAAGGCAAACGATTCTTCGACTTATTGAAAGGTCAACTACGAAACTCTCGAGAAAGAGGGGAAAACGAAAATGACTAAATATTTGGAATGAAGAACTTTCGAATGCATTTGAACTGAAGAAGACACTATATTTGCAGCAGCTCACGAAGAAAACCCCTGATGCATTGAAAGAATATAGAGCTCAGAGAAAAGAAACTACGGCACTAGTTGAATCTGTTCATACGAAGATCTGCGAAAGGTATGTCTCGAGTATGAAAAATAATATACGTTTGCCAGGCTACGGCTTATAAAATACTAAAACATTGAATTAGAGACGAAAGAGACGCATCAAACCTCAAGCTTCTTAAAAAAGAAGTTTGGCTTAAATACTTCAAATGCCTATGGTATGAAGAAAACGTAATTACAAATATGAGGAATATGAAGTTACATGGCATGACACTATATGAGGAATATGAAGTTACATGTACATTCACTATAGACATGTAATGACATGACATGTCATTACATGTCTATAGTGAATCGATAGATTATAATATGAGGAATTGCAGGAATCTCTAAAAAGTTGTAAAACTCGAAAAGCCCCTGTAACAATGTACAAATAGAGCTCTTAAAATATCTCCAAGAAGAAGCCCAACACAAATTACTAGGCATCTCAAATCAATGCTGGCAGACGCAAAATATACGGATTGAATGGAATATAGCAACAATAGTTCCTATCTGCAAAAGAGACTCACGAACAGAGTGTGAAAACTAACGTGTAACTAACATTTGTTGAACACGGGATTCAAAATATACGCGAAAATAATTTTAAATGGGCTCAGAAACGTCATAGAAAAAGTATTGCTCGAAGAACAGACGGGATTTAGGAAGAGAAGATCTTGCTCAGAAAATACTTTCTCCCTTAGGCAATTGATAGAAAAGAGAAGAAAATACAAGACGAGATAGTTCGAAAAACGAGATAAACCTGGGGAATATTGTACGTTACAATCTAAACGACAAAATCGAAGAATGTAGAAATAAATAGAAAGACCATGTATTTAGGCTGGAAAATAATCGTACATTTAAGCAATTCCTCTTCTACGACCCTTGAAGGAAAAGAAGCATTGATAGACCCAAAAGAAGGCGAAGTGACCAACTAATCGTAACATCCAAACAGGACTAATGCATACAGGAGAAAAAGAAGTAAGTGTAATTTTCCCTTCAATTTAATTAGAACTTACTTGTCATTATTATTATTATTATTATTATTATTATTATTATTATTATTATTATTATTATTATTACTTGTTACTTGTTACTATTATAAGCTGGGGGCAATGTCCTCAACAGCTCGCATGTCTCCAAACAGCAGTTGAGTCAGCATGGAGAACTATGCCAATAATACTGCATCTAGAAGTTCGCAGATGTACATTCGGTTCCGACGGGCATCCCTAATGAGACGATCGTAACGAGTTACTCTCGTCTCTGGCAGCTCCACCATTACAGTTGATAATTCTCGTAAAAGATCGACTAGTACATAAGCGAGTGGCAGCAAAAAATGAGTGTGCCATTGTGTTACGAGTTTTTAATAGTGTGCGTGCTAGTGTGTTAGTGTGAGTGCCAACTTTTGTAGCTGTCATTTATATACTATTAAGTGAAAAGGGTGCGAGAAATATCAAGTCGCGGAGAGGAAGTTACGTGCATGTACGTAAGCTACTTCCTCAGTACCAATCAGTACGTTACGAGTTCAAGTAAGTAAGTCAGTAGGCAAGTAAGCTAAGTGACGCTGTATCCCTGCGCTTGATTTCAAGAAACTTCAATTTCTCCTTCCCCTCTACCTGCCTATTGCGTCCTAGTCTCATGAGAACTTCTGATTGACACTACTCTTTCTCTCCATCTGCCGTGTGAGACGCGTGTTTCGGTGTATAAATGAGGTCAGCGTGAATTTTGGCGAAGCTTGGTTTCTTGAGCTTCGGGATGTCTGTTCTAACTCCTTTACTTATTAACATGAATTCTGAATACATGTAGAAACGCGCGTTTTTGACAAGAATTTATATAAGACATTCGCTCCCAATTTATAGAAACTATTTGCAAAACAGCTACAGATTTAGGCTAATAACCCTTCAGCTTTACGAGAAGAAATCGACTTACTCCCACGATAACGTGGAAAAGAATTATTCTCATATCTACATTCCCGAAAAAGTTCAAGAAAAAGCAAGTATATAGTGATGCTACGTTTATATCCAGAAGTAAAACAAGGGGTTATCTCAACTTTTCCTCAAAGGATCAGAGAAACTGAACGAAAACTTGATCGAGATGGGGAATCATTGACCCACAAGCTGAGGTACTGTACTTGTTACAGGCATTTTAAGTGGTTTAGGATTACTGTGGGAATGGAAACTAATACATTTGATATCATTGTTAAAACGAATATAATTTTTCTTAATGATGCTGAGTATAGCCTCTAATTGCATAGAAACAGTTATGAAGTAGAAAAAAATTTACTTGGCACTTAAACTTGCGTATCGATTTTAATTGTTTAACATCATTTTGGCAGTGAGTTGTAAGATAATTAACATGTATGTGAATGATTTTGTAGTGTTGGGAATTAAGATAGAGATTTTCCCTTAAACAAAATCTGTGATAAAAGATTAGCTCTATAAAAGTAATGTACAAGTTTTTGAAAAAACTAGGAGTTTTGTGTAATGTGTTTGGAATTATTGCAATTGATAAAAAAATTAACTCCAAAAGAAGTGACAATACCGCCCCAAAGGAAATCGGTCTGTTGGTAGACCGAAAACAAGGTGGAAGGACCAATGAGTAGGCAACGGATCTACGATCCAATGCTTGAAGAAGAAGAAGAAGAAGAAGAAGAAGAAGAAGAAGAAGGAGAAGAAGAAGAAGAAGAAGAAGAAGAAGAAGAATGTAATGTTGAAACATATCTAGTTTTCTTTAAAACTTGGTTTTGCATTTTAGAATTGTATAAGTCACCTTTTTTAATTGTCAAATGCTGTGATTTTCTCGTTATATTTGTCACACTTTTCACAAGTTGTAATTCTCGATCACTCTCTTCAAATACAACATCAACTACAATGTCAGACGACTTTCATTTTGCATTCACTTTGCAAACTTCCCATTTAAACAGTTGACAGTCACATATTGCACATAACTTCTAAGCTAGATATCTAGCGAGAGCTTGTAATTGCTAACTAGCAGTAGCGAAAAAAATGAGCATACGCTACTACTAGTACTAAATGATTCGTAGCATTTGCTTTTGTTTCAACTTAATGCTACAACATGCAAAAACTTATTTTTTATTTACCTGGCGGCTTTTGTTTTGCTTTAGATAATTTGAGAAACATTTATCTGAAGATAAATGTTATCTATCAGAAAACTATCTGAAGATAGTTCTCGGATTATCAATTTTTATTTTGAATTAAATGGGAAGACAATTACCAGCTTAAAAATCTAAGTGCAGGTTCGTGAAACGGGTCTTGAATTTTTGGCTCATTATTCAGATTTAAATTCATCTGACACAATTACTATCATGGTTTTGATTTTAAAATCTTTTTATAGTATTCGTCGCGCATGTTGTATTTGCTATTATATATTGTATGATCCTGTATGATCCTCTAACGTGCCACAATGTGAGACAGTTGCTCTTCATGTAACACTGTGTAGTAATAAATCTCTTTTTAAAGTAATTGGTTTAAGAAGGAAGGAATTGAGAAGCAACATGCGCTCAAGTCTCGCGGGTATGGACGCTCACTGAAGGGAACACGCTCCTCCCAAACGTATTCTTAAAATCACGTCTCTAGTTTTTGCGTGAGAATTCTAGTAAAGAGTAATAACCATTTTTACATGTACCTCCCACAAAACATTAGGTTCTCTTCGTCCCTCTGCATCTTGTCTAAGTAATAAGTACCACACAACTTCTCGGGCTGCCATGGAGGGCATATGAAGTCGCTGGTCGGAGTCTGTGCCCAAGGGAGTTGCATGTTGAATCGGTGAGCTCGCATGGCGTTTCTCAAGATTAAAGCCATCACGTGGTGGCGGGAATAGCCATCCATTTCCAATACTGTCGCTATGGCAACGCCTCCTTAAACTACGTCGGATGTCTTCGGGAGCGTTCCACGGGTCAGTGGCAGTCTGCTCCCGGTCGCTGCTCCCTCCGCAACCGCGGGCTTATAGTGGCTAGGACGGGTGCCGCGAGGCGAACCTACATGTGCTTCTCCAACGTCGAGGAGTGCTATTGATACCAGGTCTTCAACCCTGTAATGATGTCAAAGAATTGGAAAAAGGTGTTCTATGGATTTCAGTTTCCAAGGAAATTATCCGCCGAAGAACTCATTAAGGTATTTGCTTCAGTTTGTATTTTTGTACTTCTGCAATATTTCCTCTTTAGACGTTATTTTGTATCATAAGTTGGAACTGTCTACAACTTCTACATGCTGAAAAACAATTTTATGACCTGGCAATGCCGAAAAAAGTATTCTAGGTTACAGAAGGAGTAGAAAGAATAGTACTGAACTTGGCAGCAATTAGAAGGTGCTGACGATTAGAGTATACTTATAGTAAGTCGTGATATTAATCTGAGTGAACCAGAACCACATTACATTTTCAAGGTGTGTTATGAATTATTTACTCTTTCTGATGGTAAATGGAATTTTCAATTAATGCAGATTTGCAATGGTGATTATCAGCTTCGTTCCAACTTCATTAATTATTACCCAGAGTTAACTTTAGGGAAACACAAAGTGTTTTTCGAAAGTTAACTCTGGGTAATAATTAATAATATTATTAATTTTTTTGTGGACGATTATTTCCTTTACCATATTATGTATTACCACCAGATATCTGCTACCACCATGGAATGTATTCGTTCCAACTTATGAAAATGAAAAGGTTTCAATCATTTTCAATTATGACGAGTTGTATCATTTAGAAATTATGAAAACCAAAGACAAATTGTGCACATGTAATTTATATGATATGTGATACAAGTTATTGAAGAGAATAATACTTAAATATTATCGGGGGAAACTTTTTTAATAGGAGAACTTCTACTGTGTCTGCTTTGGTAGAAATATAACATACTTCAGTGACGATAACATTTTCTCCATTAAGCTGTAAACAGTGCTGCACACGATTTACTCTCGTATGAAATTTAGAATGGCATAGAATCACGACAATTTATACTTTTCCGCAGAAATCTCTATAATCCATACTACGATATAATGTATCTATATTCTGGGCGGATGTTTTCACGGAGGCCTGCCCTAATAAGTAATAAAGAATAAGTAAGTATGTAAAGAAATATTGCCGACGAGATGTTATTTCAAATTATACATTTCAATAATTATATATGATTTCATATTTGTGTGCTCGGGATCATCACCACTGTGGATATTGTTTGGTTTTTTTGGGCAGCAAGAGTAATATTTAGTTTGTATTTTCCCTATAGTTTATGGTTTTGGGGATTATGAAGTAAATATTATTCTCTTCATTTTCTACAGCAGCCGATAAGAAATTAATATTCATATACCTCAAATAATTGACACTTTCAGTGCACAAAGAAATGAAGTTGCTAGTAGTAAAACAATTATCGTTTTAAAAAGGTGCACAATATGAATGTATAAATAATGTAGTTGCTTTATTGTATGATTTGCGCTGATTGATGAAGTAATAATTAATATTTTTAAGAATGTATTAACTGTTCGATCGATTCAATCAAAAACGAACTAAGCTTATCTAAATATACTAATTATTACATGCTTACTTCTTATTACTTACAGTACTAATTACATGCTTACTTTTGATCAGTTCAAATATTGACCTCCGAAGAGACATTTTTGCAATAAATGTGTAATGCAAGAGCAAAATTTCGCGAAATGTGAGCAATAATAAAAGTAATCAAAGTGAATAATTACAAACATTTTGTTTTCATTTCATTCTGAAAAGTATTATCCTATAACTATTTCAAAATGGAACAGAAATGGAAATCTAACTGCCAGTGCAATTGTAAAGTGTTGCGTAATGCTCTTACAACACTCATAATTTAACATCCAACTAAAACGCTATTTAAATTAATATTACTTTGCGAGTAATGAAAGTTTTGCTATTTGGATGTTCATTTCTACTTAATTAGGACTTTTACTGATATAATATATAGCATTTACAATTCTGATGCATACTCGAGAATTCAATAATTCTGATTTTATCAGAATACTCATCGAAAAGAACCATACGCTGAAGTGAAAAGATATATGATATTGACAACATTTTTAGACGATAATCCATTTGCATGTGTTTTCGAAAAATTAGTTTTCTTTACTGAAGGCCCGACTCGAAATAGTCTTTCCACCAGTAAGCATTAATATACTAGAGCTGCTTACCAGTGCAGTGCGGAATTGTCGTTTCATACGAGTATCATTTTTCTACATTCGCGACAAATATGCCAGGCGTCACAAACTATGATTTACAATTAATCAAAATACTCATACGTTTGTACAAATTCCATTATCGTTACAGAAACGTGCGTATATTTAATTAATGACTTTCTCATTGCAAAAAAAAGTTCTTGCTTAAAAAACTACATTTCTAAATTCCAAACATAAATGTTATATGGCTTTTTTCAATACATTCAGTTGAATTTTTCTTCCAATAACCTGTCGATAATGAGAATTCGGTCGGAGTACTTAAGGTAAAAAAGTACCACAATCTCTTTCTTTGATATGAAAAAGTGTTTATGATAAAGTAACAATAATAGTTCTCTAGGGAAAATGTGACAACGATACAATAGCATATGGCAAACAAAGTGATGAAAATAAAATTTACTCAATGTAACAATTCAACTTCGTTATCGAGAGCTTTACTATTGGGACTGTTAGTGAAAGTACTGGCAAACAGGAAATGCCCTTCCGCGCCTCTGATGCTCCTCGGTCGAGTACTTCAAATACTTCACGAGAAGCTTTCGTTGCCCATTCGGAAGTCGGGCACGAACTTGAACTCATGCTCCCATCCGCACTGCGTTTTCCTCCCTCACATCAGAATTGAATAGCTTGTTGCTTGAGAAATATACGGGCTTTATTACTATATTCTTTACTCTTTGTAAAGATGCCTATAACCTAGCTACCTAGAATGATTAAAGATTTGATAGGTAGGTGATGATGATGCTACGCGAAATGGAAGTACGGAATCCAAACGAAATGTGAGGAAACCTATCGGGAACCCGCTTATTCATAAGGGCTACGAAAAATAGACTATGACATTCCTCCTGAAATGAACACAAATTAGCTCTCCTCCTATTGGTGATATACTTCAGATTATGAGTTTAATGGTCACAGAATGAGTTAAAGACTAACAAGAATGACAATTTTAGTCATTCACCGGTCCATTCTCACAGATGACCATAAGCGAATCAATCATTAGCTCCTGTTTCGTCCAGGCATTTTTCTACGCTCTCGTTGGTTAGGGAGGACAGTTCTCCGCTCCAGCATGTGTTAAGGTGGCATCGCCTCTCCCTTCGACGTTACTCACAGAATGTTTTTATTAATTCATTTAATGTACAAAATGAGTTTAAAACTTTGTGACGTACTATGGGACGAGTGTACTTGAATTCCGAGTACGTTTTCTTAATTTTAGGGATCTTTACCCTAACCCAAATAGAAGTTGAATTAGAATACAGAAAAAAAAGCTCTTTAGGCAAGAATTGCTAAGAAAATATTATCCCATGCAATAAAAACTATTTGCAAACCCAAAACTGCTACATGTTTTGACTCTTATGGCCTTTTCAGCCCTTTCTGAAAGAATTGATTTACTACCGCGAGAACATGGAGAAAGTTAATTCGAATACATATTTCCCCCACAACACTTTAGCAAACGTGCACAGATAGACGAGTTACATTTATATCCAGAAGCAAAGAAGGAGCCATCTCAGCATTCGCTCAATGGACCAAGGAAACTGAACAAAAACCCTGGTCGAGATGGGGGGATCATTGACCCAGGTGCTGACTTAGGATACGTTTGTAACGAGATTGATTTATCCTTTTTCGCCACTAGTAATTGCACCACTAGGCACTTGTTTGGCACACCACTCTTGTTCGTGCCAAATTCAGTACGATGGGGAATTCATTGTCACTCGAATTTTTACTAAAGGAAAGTTAATTTGAACTTAAAAAGTGATCTTATAGCGCCAAAAGTCAGGTAATCTTATTTCAAATTCAATCAGCAAATTCTGATTGAAGTGCGACATCAAAGTGCATGTCTTTTCTCTCAGAACAGTTGCAGTTTATATGGATCGGATATTTTTCTCAGCTTCTTTTGTTCACATAACAGTTATCGAGATGGTCCCTTGCTTTGCTTCTATATACAAAATGTACCTTTCGATTCTTCTCAAACTTTGACATACACTGTTTATAATGTAATAATTATTATTTAGTTAAGTCATTGTAATCATAAAAGTTCTTGTAACATGTCTTATGGTAAGCACCATAAGGCAATATAAAATTTACTTGTAACATGTCTTATGGTAAGCACCATAAGGCAATATAAAATTTACGAGAACAATAAATTGCTTACAATTTTAAAATCATAACTGAAACATGGCTGGGAATATTAGAAATTTAAAAAATATAATTCAACTTGAGTCAAATAAAGGAAATACATGTACAATAAAATTACAACAAGACAATGATAAGAGAATAAGCATGTTTATAACAAACACAAGAGTCAGGCACAAGCAAAACGAGGTTCTTACCACAGTACAAAATAATTAATGAAAAGAGCGGACGTAATAAAATAAACAAAAAGGTAATAAAAAATAAAGAATATGTGAGGAGACCATCAATGACCTTCTTTCACCAAAGATTGGTCACCACAAATTGGAGGAGGTTCTTCCCAACATTACCGTCTCACGGTAACTGAGCTTCTGAAATGCGCGATTAATGGGTAAGGGAAAACAAGGGATGTAGGGAAGTTAAGAGGAAAGGAGGAAAAAATAGTAAAAGGAATATAGAACTAATTAAGGGAAGGGGAAAGGAGGATAATAACTTAAATTTTAATCAAAATGCACTGGTTTGCGAACAATATAATAGGGAAAATTCTGTTTTTACGTGACCTTTAACTCATTTTGAAAGGGCTCTTAAATTTTAAAACAATTCGTCAAAAATCCAAAGATATTTACTGGCGTCATTTGTTAGCCTTGCCTTTTATTGTAAAAAAAAGCTTTAACTTTTACTTCCTCAGATACTTGTATCAAAGCTGTAAACTTTGTTTCTTTCAGTACTTAATTGTTAAAGTTAATAACGCAAGGTTGTATTGACCTTTCTGCATCGACAAAAGCATCTCTTTGAAATTTATGTAAACAAAATATTTTTGTTTCCACAAAACTACAACTTTCTTAAAGTTTGTTTATAGTGTATGGCAATCACTATAACACTAATAACATAGCTAAAACTCAATCAAAACGCCCAACAAGCAAGGTCTTCTCAAATTTATCGCACCGTTTAACTTGCAAGTTCATACCGAGAGTCCGAATGGCGCGTATTGCCAGGCATGACCGGTAACGAATAATCGATATTTTCCGAACGCCGTGCAAGAGAAGACGAATCGCTGCGGCCACTTGCGTCACCGAGAGCGGGCGGCGAACTCGCAATTCAGTCCGCTAATATTAGCAATTCATTTGCGACCTTGTGGTTTTATGACTTTTTCGCACTTGTTTGGTAACTGATGTTGTTTATATATGATTCTTTTAATTAATTAACAAGTCAAAAATATTTAAAACTGAATTTTTTTTTTGCTTGGTCATCATCGCTTCTATCGGTGACCTGTCGCCTCGTCAGTGTACATTAGAGTGATATCATAGTGGCGCTACAACAGAACGCCCGCCCTCGCATTGTTTGAAACGGTTATGTAATACAAAAATTTGAATTCGCTAGGGGGTTTCACACAGCAAATTTTGCCTGTGCTCAGGTTCGTAAACTTACATAACTTTAGAAAGATATTAGGATATTCACAGAATTCATTAGAACCGATTTTGCTTAATCTTTAGATAAACAGATCTTCAACTTTGTAGTTTTGAAATGTTAGCTTTTTGCAATGTTTGAAAATAAAGAGTTAGCCGCAAATGAGACTAGCTCCAAGTTTTTTCACCGTTCTTTGATACATAAGAAAATTTACAGAAAAAATTGTAGCACTAGATACCGGTATGGATCACAAATTTACATTTCTAACGGTTTCTTCATATTGTGTTTAACTAGTAGAGCACTACCTACGCGTCTTCGAGATATTCTCCTTTTAAAAACTTTGTCGGAAATATTAAGTATCTAAATATCTCTCATGTCTCACACGGTGATTACCATTTATGTTGCACAATGCCTACACGATTCCCAGTAGATATTGTCTCTCAATTCTCTCCACAAGATGTCTATTCAGAATGAGTTTTCCTGCGAACTCTAGACAAATGTTCTGGTTCCTTTCACGAGCCGTGTGAGAGAACTCCCCATCCCCAGGACGCGGAAGGGGCCCGCCATTCTGCACACAGGCTAAACGTACGAGATGCCCATATTTCTCACTACCCCAACCAATTAGACGACAATTCTTTTGTTTTTCGTCAGCGCTTGGATCGAACACTGAGCGAACAAAATTCATTAGATCGAGGACAGGAATGGAGTCCATAGTAATCGATATAATTGACAATTGCAGAATGTGTGACCAAGAGCATAAAAACGATCCAACTTATAGGGTGAGTCACGTCACATAGAAAAGATACACTGCCGATTTCTCAATTAGATGAACAAACATTTTTTACGTTATCTTTTTGAGAATCACTTCCTAACTGCACACAATTTTCTTCCCGATATCTCTTCTTCCGTAATGTCCAAAAGGTTTCGCTTAAAATAAGTCGAAGCCTAAGTACATTTCTAAGTATTGTCGGAGAAAAAACTGCTTTTTTTCGATACAAACAACGAAAACACGAATTTGTAAATTGACGGTATTGGGAAGCACTTTACGATGGTCCTATGACACGCACGGCCCTGCTAACGCGCCAAAGAGCCGTCAAAAATGCAGTGTACACACTGTTCGCAAATGACGAAAATGACCTTTTTAAGTCTAAAACAGCGCTTCGAATGTGCAGAATGAACAGACTGCGACGAAACTCGAAAATTACAAAAAACACTTTCGATGGGCCTCTGAGGCCAAACCTGTTAATGGAATTATTTATTGCTAATATTTCAAGAAGCTCGCGTGTCTTTTCCTCCTCAAATGTCTCATTATGTTATACCATACAGTAATGTATTGGCACTCACTGTTACAAAGGCATGACAACGTTGAGTAAATAATACGCGATTTGCCACGAAATACAA